AAAAAAAAAAAAAAAAAGAAAAAAGGAATTAAGAGGTAATAAAAGTTAAAAAAACAATAATAATAGTAATAATACACGTAAAATTATAGTTGAAAAATAACAAAACAACAGAATTCTGAGCTATAAACAGTACAGTAAATGAACTGTATAATTTACAAGACTAAACCCAACTATGGTTACTGCTGATCATTACCGCTGTAACAGTAGAAAGTACCTTATACTGTTCGTTCCTTTGTCGGTTTGGAGAGGAAACATGCAGTTGCCTGTTGTCTGCAGATACAACGTGTTGGTGAAACTGTATGTAAAAAAATTTTGAACAAATTTATTGGAATATACCTTTTTTTTTTCCAATTATCGCTGAAAATCAAATCCCCAAAAAAACTTTCATCTTCCAACAAAATAAACTATTCAAAATTATATCTCCTCTATCTTTCTTTTTTTTTTCTTGTCTTTTGCTGCATTCGTCTTAGCAGATGCCCAAATCTTAATAACAATAACAACAATAAAAAAGAAATGGTAAAAAATTAAACAGCTATAATCTGTAGCAAAAATAAATGATAAACTGTTCCTAAGATCAAAGTGTGATGTATCACGTGATGCTTAAACAGTTGCAAATGCAACAATAATGGCGGCAGTATCCGTGGCAGTACCGAATCCCAATGATCCTCACTTCTGCAAGTTTAACTATTGTAAAAGTGAATTCCAAATTTTCATCAACTCAATTTCCTACCCTTCTTTTCCACGATACCCCTCTTCTTAGCCTCCCTTTTTCTTTTTAAAACAAAAAACTTGTCATCATAACGATTCAACTGTTGGAAGATGACAAAGAAGCAAAAATTAAAAGCAAAAAAAAAATCTGCTCGAGTTTCTTTCTTCATATATAACTTTCCCAGTACTGCTTGTCTCATGTCTTCAGAAGCCCTCTCCCTCATCTTAGCAGCAAAAAAAAATGGTCAACAATTACACTTAAACAATGTTCCCTCTGCTCTTTATTATCCGAGGGTCCTTTATGTTTCACACACATACAAAAAGAAAAATTTTTTTTCCACAAAACTACAAAAGTTATGCAAAAGAAAAAAGAACTTTTTTTTTTCACAACAGTATTACTTTTTTTGACTCTTGACACTTTTAATTCACCTGTAACAACAATCGAACTGTCAAATCAATCATCAAAAACAAAAAAAAAAGGCAGAATAGAAGAAAGAAATAAAGGAATAGCAAGAAGATTAATCAAAAATGTACACCAATGGCTCATTATAAACGTTCAACTTTCTCGGCACTTATCATATAAAGCGATCAAATTTGGATAATGTTGATTCTATAAATGATATATACACTGATCAACAACTACCATTTCTGTTTTAGACAAGCAGTAAAGTTTTCAATTATTTTTTTTTTTTTTTGCCAACCAACTGATACGTCCAGATTGACGTAAAAAAAAACGGTATCTTGCTACTTGGCCTAGCAAATCCCATTCATCTTCTGTCTCAGCGCCAACAACCCAAAAAACTTGTTCAAAAAAATACCAACAATAAAAGACAGCAGATAAACAGCTGTCAGCAAGAAAAAAATCTAAGCCTTCTCAAAAAATACAATCTTGGTTCTATATTTCTCACTTTTTCTACTCAACTCTTGTAATATTTATTTGAATAAACGACAAGAAAAAAAAAAACATTGGTAATTAGCAACCGTAAGCAACAGTAATACAAAAGTTTATGAAAATTCGTTAATTAATCCAAATTAGCAGCATGAAACTAATGTTTACTGGCGAAAATACGATAACTTCTATCAAAGCTTACAAAACCCTTCTTTTTCCTATCCATCACCATGTAATACTGTTTAGTTTAATAGAATTTCTACCTCCTTTCCATCTCCTCCTTTTTATAAGTATTCTAAGCCCACCATGGATAAGAAAAACTTTTCATTTTAATGGACACCAAAAAGATTTTGATAAACTTTGATAAACTTCTTGATGACAACAACAAATACTGCTGCTGCCCACCATTACTGTTCATCAAATAGTCACAGTCTTCTTCTGGTGCCCAGAACTCTCCCAAATTCAACTGCTGTTCAAAACAGTAACAGAACGGCACAAACAAATGAACAAAAAAGTAA